TGTTCTCGAAAATCTGCCTCAGCATACGGAAACCATGTTTCCGCATTGTCTGGCCAATATGGCACGAGTTGGATCGTGTTCGTAGTCGGCTTAATACGAATAAGCTTGGGAGTGTGGTCGGACATGAGAAAGTATAGTAAATGGATGTGTAAATGTTATCGAAATGAAAACAATATACAAATATAAAATGGAACAGGCTCACCACTTCAATATCTGTTATTGTTCGGGATATGTAATCACGTCAAGAAATTTGATCACTTTGGGATATTTGATCACGTCAAGTTCTCCAATTTGGGATTTGTCCTGGTGTGAACTTGACAGACGCAAAGACCAATCACTAATTATACGGACTTGTTATATACCCACAAATACGAGGCCAAGGAAGAACACGATAGCGTAGTCGGATGGAATAGTATATTTGGATGGTTGTGCCAAAATACCGATGCGTTCCAACTAACTGGCTAGAGAGTCGAATACGAGCAGTGCAACGTAACACGACAGCGTGCCAAATGGCGAGGATGTTTGACCGGGTGCCTTCAGCTTAGCGAGTCCAGTTAAACTATCAAGGTCAGCATCGATGTTGAATGTCGTCGAACCCAAAGCTGTTGGTTTTGGGGAAGTGTGTGACGCTACAATGGAATGTTTGGCGTATCATCTCAGTGTAATGTACTTCTTATTTTCCCACTACTTAATTACGCAACTGTTGGTGTGCTCTGGGTTGTCCTTATTTGATTCAGCATCGCTGATGGTGGCTACGTTTCATTTTTCAACTTGAACTACCCAGCTGTACATTCATAACCTCTTTTAGAAAAGCCCTTGTTCACTGCGTTTACATTTCATGGGTGTATCCGCAAAAATAGAATGGCAAAATGAGATGGATATCACTTAATATAAGATCTGCGGATATATTAAGAAGCTAACTCAAAATGAGTGTGACACAGGTTCTTGAATTTCAGTGTATTGAATGGCATATAAATATTCATTTTCTGATACAGCATAGGCACAAGAAGTATATCACTCAAAATTATATTAAGACATGAAAGTGATAGAGAAAAGAACAAAAGCCAGTAGCAAAAGAATTAATGGGTTATCAGCATATCAGACTACGTCAGAACAAGCTTCCATTAATTTTCTTTAACTTCTCAGTAACACACAAAGCAAGAAGGTCACAGCATGATTGCCTCTGATTTCGGTTTTGAGTCGTATCTGATAATGCTTCAATTCCCCCAGACCCAAATCATGAATTCTTGACTAACCATTAGATGTGTCAACTCAGCAGATCTGTCCTTCGTTACGCACGAATAGTGTACTGTATTGAAGCTACTGCGGCAACACACTTAACTTACGCAGAATCTACCGAAGGCGATGTGTTGAGATGACATCATCCAAAGAATGGCGACTCCATCACACCCAAACGTGCGCTGTTTGATCTTGAGATTCCCTATATGGTGTTTCCGTAAGATACTATAAATCCTTCAGAAATGACAGTGATAAGGTATTTCTGAACATCACACATCTGCAGCTTGGTAAGCTAGGCGTCACCGACATGGGATGAAACTGCCCGTACTCTTACTTTTTACACCTGATGTTCTATATCCAGGCTAACTTCTCGACAGCGCGTAAGGTGATCTGGGTTAGAGTATATCACTCTGGATTTTGATATACTCGTTGAAATTTTATTCGTCGAATGTCTACCGGTAATCATGTAAATAACCGGATACACAAATACTTTTATTATTATTTTCACCAGTTCATCATCAACATTGAGTGCAAATACAGACTCCTGCTAATCTTGCGTATTCTATGGCATTTCAATGGTGCGAACATCATGCCGTTCTTATGGACACCAATCGCTGATCGAATAGGTAGCTTGTTCTCTCAGCAGGCAGGTGACTGCATACTCATGGTCGGATTTTTTTATGTTGGTAGCAGATTTACATAACCACTACTCGCCACCTACAGAGCTGTTTCGAAAATGTCAACAGTAACAGAGTTAAGAAGAACTGGAGAAATTTGACAAACTTGCCTAACCTTTAAAAAAAATAATAAAAGCTTTTTTCTGATAGCTATTTCGGGAATACTCTACAGAATTTTCAGCATGTCATACAGCATCAATTAAGCAGAGATAGTGTACATGTATACCTAGCAAAATGAAATAAGTATAAGTTGCATGTTTAAAAAGATACAAATATTCACCCTATTTACAGCTTTCCTGAAAATGTGCAGTTAATTTAGGTAGACAGTCACATTAGCAATTGGATTCATAATACGTAAATAGTAACATGCTTATCATCATCAATTAGTTTGTTTTCAAAAACGCAGGTTGGTTAGTTAGTTGATCTGTAATACTTTTTTCATCGCACAACAGATGAGCTAAGTATGGTACTGTAGAGATTTTATATTTATGTACTTGCTCTTCGTCTTTCCAGATGACCGACACACAGAGAGGCTTGGGTGAAGAGGATGCTGGTCATCTGATAAAATAATCCCTGCCAGATGTTTACATGAGTTAATATGTTTGTCCACAACTTTTAGCTAGAATGTTTAGAGGTAAACCACTAGTTCTGCTAACAATTTTCAAATTTCTACGCAATACAGCATAGTCTTTTTTCAGCAAGCCGAGAAAAAATGGAGAATAGGCAAGATGCAGGAGTTATTAAAACACAAGAGGAGAGGCTGTTATACCAGATACTCTCAGCTTCCTAATATAGAAAGTTAGGTGGAAAATTCTTTTGGAAATTAGTTAGATATGGGAGAACAAGGAAAGGTTCGAGGAACATCGAGATACATTACACTTATAACATTCTTTAATATACAACTATGAATAGAACAGAAATCATGAGAACTAAGGAATTTGCATAGGTTATACGAGATTTGAAATGGTTGAAAGGTGGTTAAATGACTCCACTCCGCCAGAGATGTTTTTGTATATATCTCACAAAATCTTGACCGAATCAGAGACCTCCCTCTTCAACAAATGATTCTAATCGAATCTTCTTCATTAACATATGTTAACAAAATTTATCTATCGTCTGTTTGTAGAGAACCTGTTGGGAAGTATCACATTCAGATTTGTACTACAACCCCATGTGTGTTAGGAGGTGTAGGCTCGGACATTATTTTGGACACACTCAAGGAAAAGCTTGGTATGTCATTGTTCCAGAGTATTTTAGCATGCTGTTGTGTTCATTGTTTTTTCCGTAGTTGTTAACCAGACCACTTTAAATGTCCATTTTCTCTGCGTGCAACACACCTTCAAAAGGCAAAGGTCTGTCAACAGCAACCTGAACAATGAAATATTAATTCTGCCGGAAACTATGTAAATAATCAGTAACATCAAAAGAATCAGCAGTGATAACAGCATAGTCACCACTTAAATGTTTTCTGGTTCAAGATATTTCTTTCGTCACACACTAATTTCCGTGAGAAGCAGATTTAAGGTAGTGGACAAAGTATTCATCCTTGTATACAATAGTCCTTATTCTTTCGAGTCGTTGGTGACCCTCAGTAGAAAGACTAATCAAAAGTATATTTGATATATTGATTCTCTTAGGCTGTCACTTTTATAATAGGTGATAATGCAACTCAACCAGATAAAGGTTTGTACACTGGGCTTTGAGGAACTACACATGTTGTGTCAGTTCTTACAGTATTCTGGGGCTAAAATATGCAAAGCTAAGTTTGGACTTACAGTCCGTTGCTTGAAAGCAGGGCGTTTAAGCCAATGACGGACTACAATCGTGAAGTTACTAGACTATGCTAAGCGATAAGGTTCAAGTCTTTAAAGAGATACAACATTGTGATATTCTTTGTTGGCAGAAAAAGGGCACTGAAATTGGATTCTAAGTTTACTATTGACTAATTCTAAACGTTGGATACCAAATGCAGTGTATTACGCATTGGCATAACCTATCGCTGAATTCTCAGATCAGTGGACTTCAATCCTCTCTGAGAACTAAATAGCAAAACCAGTGGGATATTTCGCCAGAAAAATAAAAGAGCTGTTTCTTGGTTCAAACTATGTGCAGCTGGAAATTTGTCACAATGGCTCAGAAGTATTCACTCCTTGACATTTTCGAAAGCCTGAATATTTGCACTAATCATTATCTTCAGATTGTTCTCTCACACAACTTTACTTTGATATCAGTCTTTTTCTATCCACTTATTTTTGTATACTTCTGTGAAGTGTGGCGACTTAAACCGATGCAACTGTGTGCGAGGTTCTACGTTGGTTTTTTCTGCTTGGTCTATTACGGCAGTCAGTATTTTATGCTTCTGGAAAATTTAATTTTCTAGTGTATAAAATAGGAAGTGTAATCTAAACATTCCAGTTAATTGTTTGTTTCTCAGTTGTGTATTTCGAACAAAAACTTCGTACACCATGGACACCCAGAAATACGTTAAACAACGATTGCAGCATTGCATCATAGGTCATGTGAAAACTAATCACACTCATCAGTCTCTCGGACCGAAGCGGTTGCCTTAAGAAATCATAACCCAAGCCATTGACTTAGAGTTTGATCCATATAGTTGCGGGGCGACGTCAGGTGCTACATTCCCGGGTTCGCAGTGACCGAACTAAGTTCGTACGCCATTCGTCCGTTCTGGATTCTGGACTTCATATTCACCATTGTTTAGAAATCAAGGTTTCCTAACCCACTCACTCAATGATAATTACCGGATGTTCGCTGTCACTCTCTGATGTTTGTGGAAACACCCCACCGTGTGAAAACAATAAATCCAACTTCTATGACAGACAATTAACTCGTCGCCGTAGTAAGGCGTCTCAAGAGGACTTTCGGCTCTATCGCACCCTTGGTTATACCAAGACAGTGGATGGTGAAAGCAAGAGTAATAATGTCTTAACAGTTTAATCGTGTTTTGTTGGGTTCCCTGTGGTGGATTGGTTAGGTGTGTTTGCACGAAAATAGACAACCACCTACAAAGCACTAGGTAAAATTTTTATTTTCAAGAATAACTCTTTTTTCTCTTCCTCACAGGTATTGAGCCAGGTCAGACAACACCTGATAAAATGTTTACACTAACAGAAGTGGAATGTCTTGGGGCTTGTGTCAATGCGCCTATGATGCAGATCAATGATGATTATTATGTGAGTTCTTAGGCACTTGTTTTAACTTTGACGAAAGCAAGGGATAGTTTTTTTTACAGGATATCTTACCTCATGGTATTGCTCAGTTGTGTGTGTTTACGTAACCAAGCAAATCATAATGTGAATAAAAATTTCAGGGTTTTATTTGATTGATTAGGAATGTATTTGTGACGAAACTTATTACCATACGTTCCTTGGTGACCAGTTAGTAACCGATGTATATATCTGACAGTTAGTACTGATCACTATTCTATCACATTAAATCAGTCGTACCAGTTTAATTAGAAATCACCAAAGTTCCCTCTTACCCATGTATAAAATTTGATTTTTAAAATTGGCTCATATCTCCCTCTATTTTAGGTTATAAAGCAAAGATTGTTTGAAATAAATGTTTAACTATTACTCATTTGCTCTATTTTGTAGGAAGATTTAACAACTGAAGATACAATTCGTATTCTTGAAGAACTGAAAGCTGGGAAAAAACCAAAACCTGGGCCACAGTGAGTTTTTTCCCCGATAGATTCTATAGACGCCTATTATAGTTTTTCAGGGAATGGTATTGCCCGTTTCAGATTTACTTAAGTTGTCCTCCTCCCTAAAACCTTACTCTTTCTCGAATTTAAAAATTTTAAACACTGAAAGTAATGCAGTAGGTTTACAACATGAAAATTGTAACTTTGTCAATAAACTCTAAATTCTCCATATTATTTGCTCTAGTTTGGAACTATAGCTCATTGGTTTAGGCACTTGACTTCCAACCGACGGGTCAAGGGTTCATACCCCACTCGACCTACCGAGGTCTGGGCAGCTAGGTGGTATCAATGGACCTCACACAATGACTGTAGCTCATTACCTGTTGTACAAACCACCATGTGGTTGATGAATGCGTTTCGATTTTTCGTTGTTGAATTAAACCAACCACCTAACAACCCATTACTGTATTCAAAATCGATAAAATCTTCACCTGGAAAACTTAAGTTTATTATCAAGGTGACTTCTTATGTGCACACTAGAACTAGACTAATCATTCTGGGTCAATCTATTTACAACGGAATTTCAACGAACTCTGTTACCTGAAGACTGCCAATTATTTAAAGATAAAGGTTATAACAATGGGTTAGATCAAAGAAGTGTTTTAGTGCAGACAAAAATGAAGGTGATGAAGCAAAGTGTATGTGGCAAACTGGCGATAATGAAATCATATACTCAGGGTACTAGACTAAAAAGATTTAGGTAGTTGTGGATCAGATAGAATGAGTAAAGTGAGGTCAGAAAGAGTATGACTTTGAAGTATGATTAGCATGAAAGTGGATAATGCTCCAAACAGTACTGGTTAAATTTCATCGATTAGTTTGGTCACTAGGCTTAGTAACAGGATTGGAAATGAAGCCGAAATTGAGTTTCGCCCTTTCATATCACTTGCCAAGAAAGCACAGATGTGAAAGGGACTGCTTTCCGTGAAAGTTCCAAGCAATGTTTCTTGCTTGTGAACATATCTGTTCGCCTAATACAACGACCGTAGGATATTGAGAAATATTTGTAACCCAGGATAATGATTTGGATGGGGTGATTTCATCGATTATACCGCTTGTGACCTTGGTCTAAGCACTCACTTGTAGTTGTTCAAACAAGGTGATAGACGACCTCTACCGAAATCTACTTGGTACTTCATTCAAGACCAAACGTACTTGTACCGTAGGACTTCAGTAGACAGATTAAACCATCTTCCAAATAGCAACCTAATAAATAATTGAACAACTGCTCTGCACCAACCATTTGACCTTAATAACATAGACATTATCTAGTCTGGTGGCTATCAGCCACTGACTTGACATTGGTGTTGAAAATCCGGATCTTGTTCCACATGCTGAGTGCAGAAGATCTCTACATTGGTTTCAGGTTAATGAACGCCTGTCTTGCTGTCTTTCCGATCCTGGCTGGCTTTGACATCCCCGTCTGTGCCGCCTGTAGTTGAGACTGTACTACCTAGATAGGTGAAAGAGGCTACTTCCTTTAAGTTCCTCCCATTGATGGTGATTGGAGCTTGTTGTTGTTGGTGTTGGTTGGGTATCTTCATCATGTCTATCTTCTCTACATTCACCTGAAGTCCCGTCTTCGCTGCCTCGCCTCTTCTGTCAACTTGTTACTTTTCGCCTGTAGATCTTCAAGTCTCTGTGACATTAGACATAAGTCATAGGCGAAATCCAAATCTTCTAGGTTCTTTTTCCTGGTCCAACCAGCGTATCCCCTTCTCCTCCCTCCTCACTGTTTGTTGCATGATCGAGTCCAGTCCACTACAATCAGGAATATCATGGGTGATAGTAGACAGCCTTGTTTCACTCCTGTCTTCGCTTCACTTCGAAGGCATCACTGAGCTTCCCATTGTGAATTACTTGGCTGGCATGTGGCGTCTTCATATAGTTGTTGAATGAGGTTGATAAAGGTTTGTGGCACTAAAGCCGTAGTGTTGAAGCAGTTTCCAAATTACCTCTCAGTCGACGCTGTCGAAGGCCTTCTCAAAGTCGATGAAGTTGATGTAAAGATCCAGTTGACTTCCATTCCATACTCTGTTCTATGATGATGCGATGCGTAGCCTAGAGTTGCAATTTGATC